AAAAAAAAAAAAAAAATTGGGTGTGGGTCACTTGGGATTTCTGCCTTGGTAAAACCAAGTAATCAGATTAGATTGTTTCAAAGCTCGTTTCCACCTCTGTCTACTGGTGTAAGTGACCTCCCCTTCTTGATTCTCCCTTTCTGCATATAAAAGGAGCGGACTAAAGATAGATCTTCTCTCTGCCTCATGGTGTAGTTCTAAAAAAAAATTAAATTAAAAAAAAAGATACCTTCTATTTCTAGTATCTTTGATCAGGCAATATCCTCTTCTAAACTCCCAGTAACAAAGTTCTTAACAAGGGTAGTTAGCTTCGAATAGTCAAACACTCCTCACATGCTTAGAGTGAGAGGTTGAGCTTGGGGAGAGGACAGATACTTCATATAATCATATTTTCAGTTTCTCCCAAGATCTGCCTGAATACTGATGTTCTGTAAAAAAAGAAAATGCACATAAAATACTATTACATGGCCAGGCGCAGTGGCTCCACGCTGTAATCCTACAACTCTGGAGGCTGAGCCGCGGATTGCTCGGGGCGAGGTCAGAGTTCGAAACCAGCCTGAGCAAGAGCGAGACCCAGTCTCTACTATAAATAGAAGAAATTAACTGGCCAACTAATATATATAGAAAAAATTAGCGCCAGGCATAGGTGGCGCATGCCTCGTAGTCCCAGCTACTTGGGAGGCTGAGGCAGCAGGATTGCTTGAGCCCAGGAGTTTGAGGTTGCTGTGAGCTAGGCTGACGCTACGGCACTCACTCTAGCCCAGGCAACAAAGCGAGACTCTGTCTCAAAAAAAAAATACTATTACATGGATGGTATAGGTGACATCATGATGAAGGTAGAGATGGTATCACAAAGATGATAATGAGAGAATTGGGAGGAATGCTCTTTTCCCTTCTCAGGAAGCCCATAATAAAAAGCTATTAAGTTATTTGTTGGCCAGGCGAGGTGGCTCACACCTGTAATCCTAGCACTCTGGGAGGCTGAGCAGGGCAGATCGCTCAAGGTCAGAGAGTCGCGAACCAGCCTGAGCAAGAGCAAGACCCCGTCTCTAATAAAATAGAAAAAGATTACATTGGCACATACTGGAAAAAATAGTCGGGCATGGTGTCACATGCCTCTAGTCCCAGCTACTCAGGAGGCTGAGGCAGTAGGATTGCTTGAGCCCAGGAGTTTGAGGTTGCTGTGAGCTAGGCTGACAACATGGCACTTTAGCAACAGAGTTAGACTCTGTCTCAAAATAAATAAATTAAATTAAATAAACATATAAAAATATTCAAACTCACTCATAATTAGATCTCTTAGAGACTCTTTTTTTTCCCACACACAGTTTATTGCAGAAAAGAAAAATACTATAAAAAGTAAAAGTAAAGAAGGAAGCCATGCAAAGTGAAAATATCTTCCAGAGAGAGGAATGGGTCAGTCTCCATGAGTGGAGAAAGACGACTTAGAAACTCTTAATGGCCAAATCTTTGAGCAACAGAATAAATGATTACAATGGATTATAACTCATAGACTAAAATAAATATCCATGAGCCCATACTGATAAAAATAAATAACTGAATGAATAAATAGTTGGACAGTACTCTTCAAAAGTTTTGAGGCCATGAAACACAAAGAGTGAAGATGAAAGACAAGGACTGAGGAACTTTCAGATTAAAGGGAGACATAACAATTAAATGCAATGTGTAATCCTGAATTTTGATCCTATTTTGAAAAAAGCATGTTAGTAGGACAATTGATGAAATCTGAATAAAGTCTACAGATTTCTTGACAGTATGTCAATTTCCTGATTATACTGTGGTTATGTAAGATTAACATTTGGGGAAGCTGGGTGAAGGGAATTCTGTGTAATATTTTTGCAACTTTTTTTTAACAAGCCCGAAATAATTTTGAAATGAAGAAACAATAGAATTGTCTTGTCTATTCCAATAATTATTGCCCTTCAATGTACTCTTTCTTTTGTTTTTTGAGACAGAGTCTCGCTTTGTTGCCCAGGCTAGAGTGAGTGCCATGGCGTCAGCCTAACTCACAGCAACCTCAAACTCCTGGGTTCAAGCAATCCTTTCTGCTCAGTCTCCCGTAGCTGGGACTACAGGCATACGCCACCATGCCTGGCTAATTTTTTCTATATATATTTTTAGTTGGCCAGTTAATTTCTATTTTTAGTAGAGACAGGGGTCTCGCTCTTGCTCAGGCTGGTTTCGAACTCCTGACCTCGAGCAATCCGCCGGCCTCAGCCACCCGGAGTGCTAGGATTACAGGCGTGAGCCACCGCGCCCAGCCAAAAAGTAGTTCCTTGATGCAATTTAAAAAAAAAACTATTATGGAAAATTCAATCACACAAAAGTAGAGAGAAAAATACAATGAACCCCTATGCACATATTACCCAATTTTAACAATTACTACCCTCCCTGTATTTACAGTATTTATTTATTTATTGGTCTTTTTTTCTGAAATCATTTAAAGCAAATCTCGGATATGTCATTACATGGTAACTTTTTTCTTGATTTATTTTATTTAATCTTTCTTTCTTTCTTCTTTCTTTCTTTCTTTCTTTCTTTCTTTCTTTCTTTTTTTTAGAGACAAGGTCTCACTCTGTCACCCAGGCTAGAGTGTAGTGGTGTGATCAGAGCTCACTATAACCTCAAACTCTCTTGGGTTCCAGCAATCCTTTCCTAAGCCTCCAGAGTAGCTGGGACTACAGGCACCAACCACCATACAGGAGTAATTTTGTTTTAGTAGTAAAATCAGAGGTCTTAAACTCCTGGCCTCAAGCTACCCTCCCACCTTGGCTTTCCAAAGTGCTGGAATTACAAGTGTGAGCCACCACTCACAGCCTAAAGACTTTTTTCTTTCCACATACCTACCATATCATTATCACATCTAATGAAACTAACAATTCCTAAATATCACTGAATTTCCATTCCTATTTCAAATTTTGCTCATTGTCTCAAAAGTTGGTTTGTTTTAATCAACATCACAAGGTACATTTTTTATTTTGTGTCTTAAACTCCGTTAGTCCATAATAGTCCAAAATAGTTGATTTTAAATTTAATCTGTTGGGGAAATTAGGTTATTTGTCCTGTGGAAGCTGATTACTTCATCTTGGTGTTTGTTTTTCATATTTTTCTATTTCCTGGAAACTGTTGGCTAGATCTAAGGCTTAATTAGATTTGAGTTCAATTTGAGGGATCAAGAATATTTCATAGGAGGCACTGTGTATTTTCTATTGCATCACATCATGAGGTATCTCGTCTGGTTGTCTCACATTTAATGGTAATAAGATTGATGAAAAAGATTCATGTGGTATCAGCGTGATTCCCTCATTATAAAGTCCAACATCTTTTTTAAAAAACAGATGCCATATTTGTTTAGCCCTGACAATAACACACACAGTCAAACGTTGAAATCTTGCCCAGGGGTAGCTGTCTTCATAACAATGTTCAATTAACTTTCCTAACAAAACTACAATTGAAAAGTCCAGGTCAACCTTTTTTTTTTTTTTTTCCAGACAGAGTCTCACTCTGTTGCCTGGGCTAGATGGTCGTGGTGTTCCAGCCTATGCTCACAGCAACCTCTGGAACTTCCTGGGCATCAAGTGATTCCTCCTGCCCTCAGGCCTCCCACGAGCCTAGCTGGGACGTCCAGGGCATGTTCGCCGGCCAGATGCCCGGGTAAACATTTTTGCTACCTCAATCTATTTTTACGTTGTCAGCTCAATGTGTCGTTTCTCTTTTTAGTAGAGACGGGGTCTTGGTCATTGCTCGGCGCTGCATCCTCGAAACCCCTAGAGCCTCCAACGAGCATTCGCCCTTCCTCGGCCTCCCAGAGTGCTAGGATTATAGGCATGAGCCACCCAGCCCGGCCCAGGTCAACCTTTTTATCACAAAGCACTGTGGCGGTGAAACCAAAAAAAATTGAGGAAACGACTACATCTTAAAAATCCTGCACTTATACACTAAAATTAACCAAACATAAAAAAAGGAAAGAAAAAAATAAAAATTAAAGGAAAAAATAAACTTGCATTATTAACAACTAAATGCTTCAAAATATCTCAGAAGATTATCACCATTGACTTTGGTGAACCAAGTGGGATAGATTCTTGGGACGTCGTGGCTGGAGGTATGGAAGCTTTAAGGAAGTATTCTAAGCCTAAAAGACTAGAAGGAGCCGGGCACAGGCTCCACGCCGTTAATCCTAGCTCTGTGTGTTGTAGCTGAGCACACTTGCTCAAGTCAGATTCAAAGAGCCACGCCCCCTCACGCCCAACGCAGCAAGCGGCGTCTCTACTCCCTACCCAATAGCATCAACGAAATTAATTGGCAACTGACTCTGATACAACTAAGAATGTTGAGCCGGCATGCATGGTGGCGCATGCTGTAGTCCCAGCTACTCGGCGGGGCCTGAGGCAGGGAGGATTGCTTGAGCCCGAGATTGGTTGCTGTGAGCCAGGCTGACGCCACCAGGGGCACTCATAGGCACTGGGCAACAAAAGCGGGACTCTGTCCTCAAAAAAAAAAAAGACTAGAAGGGAGCTAAGCATTATAAAAATAAAATCGGGAGGGGAGACTGGAGGCAGGGAGGGATGAGGCAAGGAATTGTGGGGTTTTTATTATAATCTCATCTGTGCGTGTATTATTTCTACCTTAAAAAGGACAAACGTTGAAGAAAATATAGGCTGCTGAAAACATCAAAAACAATAGCCTATTATTAATACATACACGCTTTCAGTTTTTTTCCCTTATATCGGAATCCAGTTGGATAATACTTAGAAAGGCTAAGGTCATCTGGTGATTTAAAATCTTCAAAAGGGTTCACGCGCTAGGGACGAGCCCGAAGTTGGGAGCTCTAGGGTAGGGACGCGCCGCCAGGGCGGGCGCAGGGCTCAGAACACACGCCCCTGGCGCGCTCCAGGCCGAGCCCACACAAAGCCTCGCGGGGGCGGGGCCTGTGACGTCACAGAGAGGCCCGCCCCCTGACGTCGCGCACTGAGGAGGCCAGAAGGTTTCTGGCGGCGCCGGCGCCATTTTGCCGGGGCCTGCGACCGAGTGGGAGTGGAGTGGAGTGGCCGTTGTTGCCGACTCTTTCCCCCTCCCCACGGTCCAGTCAGCGGGTTGATTAGGCCCTCGGCCCTCGAGCCGAGACTTGTCTCTTGTTTAGTCCTGGCGGAGCGCCTGGCCGACATGAGCGATATAGAGGAGAACAACTTCGAGGGCAGAGTGAGTACAAAGCCGCGGGAGCCGTCTCGGCGGCGGCCCGATGCTCGGGGTTTCACGGGGACGAGCGCGGTCGGGCGGGGTTGCGGGGAGTCCTGCGAGGGCCCGGGGGAGCAACCTCTGGAGCCATCGCGATTGCTTCCTCACATCCCAAGATGGCTTCTGGGCTCTACTCCTTCCCCAAACGCTACGGATAACACCCCTCACCCTTTTTTTCGGAGGCTGACTGCTACCTGGACTCCTGGGTCCTCACCCCTTCCCCCACCTCCGAGGCTTCCTTATCTGCGTTCCGAGGTGTGGGGCCCCGTCGCGGTGGGGCGGGAGGAGGCGGCAGGGAGTTCCCCTCCGGCCGGATAGGGGTAGGTGCTTCCTGCGGTGGCATTTCTGGCGACCCCGAGCATCGTAGAGGGTCTCGGGGGTCGAGAGTGCGCGGGGCTGTTTTCCGGGCGGGGAGAAGCTGGCGTGGGACTAGCTGGGGCCTGTGTCTCCTTGGCTCTCTATTGCAGTGAGCGGCCGCGTCTCTGTTGGAACCGGCGGCGTTGCGTCTATAAAGGCGAAAGCCTTGAGGTTGAAGGTGGGACGAGCCTAATGAAGTGGTTAGTCAACGACCGCACCGACCCTTAAGCGTTCTTAAGACGAGAGCTGTGAGGGGAAAACTACGCGAGGAGCCCCTTTTCCCTTAATGTCCCTTCTGCTTTCCTTTCACTTCAGAATGAATGTGGAAATGCTATAACGCCTTTTCTAATTCCTTGATGTTGGGTTTTTTTCTCTTCATATCTCAACTTCTAATGCTTTTCTTCCTGTGACCTTTCATCTAAAAACTGATCACTCCTTTACAGGTTTCTACGGTAAAAAAAAAAAAAAAAGGGGGGGGAATCTTCTTTCTTTAATCTTAAATAACTGAACGAATTTCATGGCTCAGTAATTTAAAAATAACTAGTCAGGTTGTACTCTAAGAGGTACCTGAAAATTAACAGGCCCTGTCCCATTTCTCTTCTCAACTCCATCCTTAAGCAAAGAAGGGTCAGAAGGTTTTCTTTATTTGGGGTCGGTTGAAAATAAACATCACAGTACGTTATCCCTCAGCTTAAATGTATTAGAACGTTTATCAAGGTTTGAGTTATATTTCCAAAGTTACCCTCATACTGGAAATGGGTGGAAGTGAGTTAGTGGTGAAACCCTGAAAAGAAAACAAAAGCCCCGGGCAGCACGTTCCAGCTGTTGTGTCGGTTCTAGTCACTAGTGGAAACACTAAAAACACTTCTTAGGCTGTGCTGGAGGGAATGAATTTTGTCTGTTTTGGAAGGAAGTTCATGATATAAACACCTGGAACCAGTCAGTCAAATCAGAAGGCCGCTTTAGGCTTTAGTTCTTCCTGAGGAAAGAGATTTTTAGAGCAATCGGTTAGAAACAAAGAGCTACCTTTAATTTCTTTGATTGGGTTTTTTGGAAATGAATAGGTGAACCTTCTCATTTTTTAGGGTGGTTGTCCCAATAGAACTTTGTGAAATCATGCCATAAAAATATTTGGTGATAGTTGTAAACTGCTGCTGGTTTTGAAAATGTTAGGTTGTTATGGGAAGAAATTTTGTTGTCCATTCATCTTTCCTTCGATTAACTTTCATTACAGAAACATTTTTTTTGTTTATATTCTGATTTGGTTTGTGGGGAAGCGAAGAGGACTACTAGTGGGACCTTGTTACCTTTAGTTATTTTTAAATTTGTTGTCAAATGAAGGAAAGGAGTAAGTTATAGATATTGTCACCTTACCCACCTACGTAAGTAACATGAGATTCCCATCAACTTTTAATCTGAAATGTGTGTAGGCATTGACAATTGGTTAACTAGAAATAAAGGGCTTTCTTATGTAGTAAATATTTTTCACAAGTGGTATCCAGCTGTATTTTAGTGTAAATCAACTCAGTTGAATAATTAATGCTTCCAGGCTCATATTTTATGTCTTTTTAGTTTTGTGTTTTAGTTTTTAGATTGAGGCAGTTGTCCTTATTTATAACTAAAGAATTAGGAGAGTGCTGGAATGTTTTCTGGAGGTGTCTCTTTTATTTCTTAAAGCAATTTAATATTCACTAGTGCTTTTGGTTTTTAAACTACAGTGAGTACTTTTTTCTGCTGACCATAAGCCAGTTGTAATACAACTGCTATGTCCTTATTTTTGTGGGTTAAGATATCTACATATAACAACCACTTAGGCTCAAAAAACGACTTTCAAATGATGGGTGTCAAGATGTTTAAATAGCTATCAGGCTTCAAACTTTTGTTAAAATTAGGGAAAACATTGGCAAGTCAGTATTCATATGTTAGGCTTATCAAACGTGTTTGTGGAGTTACAAATACAGTTTTTGGATTTAATTAATATTTTCCCTTTATTTAGGAATTCTTTAATGAGAAGGACAACTCTAATACTTTAAAGTGCAATTTCATTTGTTTTATGTAGATTATAAACAGGGCACATATTAACCCTGTCTTACTAAGAAGACCATTTAGAATTACAGGGTAACTTTCTAGAGCCCCCCAAACATTAAAGAAACAGAGCTGGTATTAGTATTGCCTACTTTTATAGCATCTTAGGATCTACCACCCTAAAGATCTTTGATATGTTTTCTAATGTACTGCTCATGGTAATCTTGCAAGGGCTGGAGTAATATTAGCATTTTAGAAATGAAAAAAGTACACTGTACTTCAGTGTCTCAGCTCTTAATGGAGTTTGAAAAAGCAGTTACTGAAGCTTAATTTTCTATTATAGACTAATGTCTCTTCCATTTTAAAGGACTAGAGTAAAACTTTAGGAAAGAAAATATAATTGTCTGGATTCTGTTGTAAGTAACTCAAGGTGAAACTCAGTGAAAACTGAAAAGGTAAAACTCAGAAAAAAAGGGCTTTTTTTTAGTAAGGGTAAGTGTTCTTGAGGAAGAGGGAACTTGCAGTCTAATTTGAGATGACTGACAGTTCAAATCGAGGCAAAAGTAAGTATATAATCAAGTTCTATGTTATGGAATTAATAAGGAATTCAGAAAATGAGCCTGAATGGTTTTGTGAACTAGGAGAACAGGAAAGCTTTTACCTAAGATACAAAACTTTCAGTAGATTTTATGATTAGGGAAATTAAACTAATACTGATTGTATGGGAGTGACAATGAGGAAGTTATGCCGAAATAGTGAAAGATTAATCTGACTAAATATGCAGTCAGATAATGGAGGATTTTGAATACTAGGTTTAGGAATTTGGACCTTTTTTTGTGCATCTAAATCAGGAAAGAAGGAATTTGGACTTAATCCATTATGCTCTAAGGTGCTAATAATGGCTAAGGTGCCATCTATGAATCCTTAATTCTGGGAGGGACATGATGGAAGGAATATTGGCAAAGATCTTAGATTGGTACGGGAAGGGCAGCAGGAAGCACTTAACATAAGAAAGGAAACAGCACAGCATTGGAATATAAAGAATGAAGGAGACTTCCAGCCATAGGGAAGTAAAAAGGAACAAGAAAGATAAAAGGAAAAATTAAAAGAATGAATTAGAGAATTTTTAAGGAATCTAGGAGAATAATGGTGCCATTAAATATAGGTCCATGAAACAGTTTCCTTGGAATATGTGTATTAAGGTAACAAACATTTTAAGTAGAAATGTCCTCAAGCTGGCAGTGAGGGTGATTGAGCTGTGGCTTTTCATGTTGTTTTCATAAAAGCAGTGAATTGTTTACTTCATTCAGCTTCAACTAAAATAAGGATTTGACCTCAAAAAATTTTAATGCTCTTTTTAGAAATTAAAGAGAATGGAGATTCTCTTTCTTTCTTATCATTTTACTTATTTTATTTTATTTATTTTATTTATTTCTTATCATTTTACTTATTTTATTTCCCCACTCTAAATTTTTAAAAATTAAACTTCGTTGTGCAATTCTTATTCATGCATTTAGCCCAGTGTTTACAGTAAAGGTTAATGACTCTTAATTGTTTAGGGGTCTGTCTTATAACTCCACAGTTAATTTATGCTTTGTATTACAGTTGAAGAGGAAAGATATTGTTTATCCTCATCTCCTTTTCAGGGTTTGCTCTGGCTTTTTGAGTAGCTGGAGTATTAAGAGACTTCTAGAGTTCCCTTCTTATTGTATAAGGTGATTAGATGATAAAAGTGAAGAGCAAAACAAAAATTCATTTGTACTAATTTAGAATTAAAGTTGTATGTGAAGATATTTTGATAAAGAATAGAAGAAATATGGGGAGGTTTTTTTTTACTTCTCTGAAACCTGATAATGTTATAAGTGGTGATTACCTCATTCAAAACCCAACTTGGGAACTGGCTCTTTTTTAAATAAAAGAAAATCTTCTAAATTGGTCTCTAAATTTTTTAATGAAATTTTAGAATAATCAATGTGAGGGATATCATAGCTACTTAAGCAATTTAATTTCGTGTATCTCGCCAAATTGACCTATTACAAAAGGATAAAGCTTCCTTTCTTGGGGTAGGGATAGTATTAAACCTGAGAAAGTCTTGTTTGTCTTGGGATTATTTTCCTAAAATTAAGTACTATCATCTAATTTTAATCCTTTTTTATTGTTCTTCTACCCCTGCCCCTATTTAAGCAGAGAATTTGTAAAATTAAGGAAACATCTCAAATTTTAATATTTGAAATTCTTTCACTGAAGGGTGCTAATTTGTTCGATATGAGTAGAAGGCAGAATTTTGAAAAGGAGCTGTGCAAGTAATTATACCCATAGTGCATAACAGATTTTCAGATGTCATAGATACTTATACTTTGTACTGTTTCTATGGCAGGGCTCCGTGGCTCATGCCTGTAATCCTGGCACTCAGGGAGGCGGAGGCTGGAGGATCTTTGAGCTCAGGAGTTCAAGACCAGCCTGAACAAGAGTGAGATCCAGTCTCTACCAAAAATAGAAAAAATTAGGGAGGCGTGGCTCGCGCCTGTATCCAGCCACTCTGGGAGCGGATGTTCTATGGTCAGGATTCGAACCATCTGATTGAAAGGAGTGAGAACCCCGTCTCCTACTATAAATGAGAAGAATATTGGCCAAATATATATATAGCAAAAATTACCGGGTATCTGTGGACATGCCTTAGTCCAGGCTGAGGCAGAAGGATTGCTTGACCCAGGAGTTTTGAAGGTTGCTTGTAACTAGGCTGACACCGGGCACTCTACTAAGGAAAACAGAGTGAAAACTCTGTCTGGAAAAAAAAAATATGGAAAAGAGCCTTGAACATTGAAAGAATCTCAAGAATTAATTTAGGTGGTTTTGAGAGTCATTTTAAAAAAAACAGATCAAAGTAAATTTCTATAGGCTTAGTTTTATAATGAACTGAACTTTTTTTTACCTGTGAAATATAACTTCGGTAGGATAAACAAAGTCCCTACCCTGAAACTGAATGACATGATAATCACCATAGTAGTTTCTAGACTTGTCTACAGTGAAAACTTAAATCCTATCATTGATTTACTCAGGTATCAACTACCCCCTGGGGCTTGAGGTGTGTGATTCACACACTAAGGGAATTTAATTTTACTGATTAATTGTTCATATTTTTAGGCAGATTGGTAGGACAGAAGTGTGGGGGTGAGGAAAATCGGCTTAGCAGCTATCAGATTGAGGAGAAAGATTGTAACACTACAGAAAATTTGAAGAGGAGGGTAATAAAAAGGAGAATGTATTCCTCTCCCTATTCTTTAGTTATTCCTGTATAGTTGTGCTATTATCCTGTATGTTCCCGGTAAATTTTCACCAACAGTGTGAAGTGACTATAGGGCTGACTGATTGAAGATAATGATTTTCTTGAAGCCAGGCCTTGGGATCTGATCTTACCCCAAGATTAAAAATACTTCTGACACCAGAAGAATTGAGAGCATAAAGGAGAGAATGCATAAACAGGTTCTTAGTAGTTGTTTCTAGTTGCTGTTTATCAGTTTATGCTGTTTATCAGCTTTAAATACAGTAAACCAACTTTAGTCCTTTAATAATTCAAACAATTTGAATTGATTTCAGTTTGCTTATTAAAGTGCCAATTAGTAATATCATTTTTATTGATTAGAAATTATTCAAAACTATTCTAAATTTAGAAAGTACAACAATGTATTAGATATTTTTGAGCTTTGCATATAGAATGCCACTGAAAACTCATTCAAATCAGGTACAAAGGCCATTGCGGCTCATGCCTGTAATCCTAGCACTCTGTGGAGGGCCGAGGCAGCGGATTGCCTCGAGGTCGGGAGTTCGAAAAACCAGCCTCAGCGAGAACCCGTCTCCACTAAAAAATAGAAAAAATTAATTGACCAACTAAAAATATATATACAAAAAAAACAAAAATTAGCCGGGCATGGTGGTGCATGCCTGTAGTCCCCAGCTACGTTGGGAGGGCTGAGGCAGGAAGGGATCACTTGAGCCAGGAGTTTGAGGTTGCTGTGAGCTAGGCTGACACCATGGCACTCACTCTAGCCAGGGCAACAAAGTGAGACTCTGTCTCAAAAAAAAAAAAAAAGTGCAGTGTACAGGTATGACCTTAAAGGAAAGGAAATTGTTTAAAATAAACTAATAAGCAAACAGTATTTTCTTTTTAGAGGATTGCCCTAATGGCAGTTATGGTTTAAGAAGAGACTGGCAGTGTTTTTTTAACAGCCTAAGAATTTGTGAAAGAAGTATCCTATTATACCCAAGAGGAAGGAAGCAGAAACTCTTATTTCTATAGACTGAATTGGGTTAAATATAGACAGTTTCTTATAAGTCCTAAAGAATGAAGTTCTTGGGCCGGGCTCGGTGGCTCACGCCTGTAATCCTGGCACTCTGGGAGGCTGAGGAACGAGAAGGTGGATCGTTTGAGCTCAGGGGTTCAAGACCAGCCTGAGGAAGGGAGAGACATCGTCATGAAGTTTTTAATACAATGAATATTACAAGATATTTGAGCAATTTAAGTGCATTCTCCCCCCTTTGGGGACATATGATTTATCTAAATGCACCAGTATATTTCTATGGAAATACACCTCCAGTTTCATAGAGTGTTTAGGAAAATATATTTTGAGTAAGTTTGCTTGACTCACATTGTGTATTACTATACTCATAGACTTGGATTTGTGTAAATTTGGCACTATAGGCCTGGCATAGAATTTGCCTGGCCTTAATATTGGAATGGGTTACAATGTAGCATTTATATTAGTTTATGTGTGTTTATTTTAATGAATATTAAGTACTAAGCATATGTATTGTGTTGGGTTTTTTTTTCCCTCTATAATATGATATAGGCCTTACTAAAAGACTGCAGTTATTGCTTGTTGTAGGAATTAAGTTCTACAACAATATGTGTGTGTTTATATATATAATAACCCTGATTAAAAGAATAGTACATGGTTATTGTGCTTATTTACAGTGCATAATATACATGGAAAAATATCAAGATACCACCAGAGGTATCTTGGTAATAAAGAATAGTTAAAAACAAACAAGTAAATAAACACCAGGAGAAAAACCTTCTAAGCAGGTTGTGCTGTGCCTGGCTTCCAGTTTATAGTATATGAGGTAGACTGGAGACCTCATTGAGATTTCTTTTAAAATCTGTGATATGAATTGATGGAATCGTTAATTTGCCCATTCAAATTGGCAGCATATATTTTTAATATTTGGATCCTGGAGCCAGGTTACTGAGGAATTTGTCAACTTCTTGACTTGACAGCTATAAGAATTGGTGGTCTGGTGAAACAGGGCAGATACCACCTCTTCCCAGCATTCAATTTTTTTTCTGTTTGTAATTTCAATTCAGTTTCTAAATTCTGAATAGTTTTATAAATTCCTTTGAATAGATTTGAAATTATTTCATAATGAAGATAAGTTAAAGATAGAAAAGGATTATCTAGTATTTGTCCTTCGTAAAGGACTTCTTGTAGCTTGATTTTTAATGCAGAGTTTAGTGAAAGGGACATTTATTTGGTAGCAGTTTTTGATGAATAAGTTGCTTTAAAATTGTAAATATTAATATGACCATTTTTTTCTTTGTAAAGACTATTTAACCACCAGTTCTTAAAATGGGCCATTTTTTTTGTATTTTAGTAAAAATATTTATAAAGAATTAAGTTTATTAAGTTAAAATGATAGAGACAACTTTGCAACTAGGAGTTAAAGGGACCTGAGAGGACTATTTTAATCTTGGATGATTCCATGAAGAAATGTATTCAGATTTAGATTTCCCAGAGATGTAAAGAGAAGAAGGGCAGACAACAAAAGAGGTTAGGCATTTGTTGATATCTTGGGTAATAAAAAGCTAAACTTCTTTTAAAATATGCTGATGTCTTTCAAAAGAGACATTCTATCATACCTTAATACTTTGTTTTACTACTCCACAACTGGGATTTAAAATTTAAATTTTGAGATGTTATTGACTTAACTGTTTAATATAAGACTCTTATTTCTATCCTAGTAAAATTAAAGGTTTACAGTGTCTCACAAAGCAAAGCTTTCTAATATGTGTGTGTAACAAGGGCTTTGGTGATGTTCATAGGTACTCTTCCAGCTACTGCTATTCAACAGTAGCATAAAGGAACATTATGCCAGAGGGTCTGTTTTATAGAAGGGAAAAACCAAGAGAGAAAAAGAGGGGAAGATATTCTTATCAGTTTAGTTAATGAACCAGCCTGTGAACTTCAATTGTAAGCAGTTTAGCCATACTTTTTTTTAAAATACTGAGTATGCTGCTTTCATGGTTTCAATGAGTGAAAAGGCCAGCATTGCTATGCCTGCTTCCAGGCATCTGTCCAGCAATTTTGAGGGTATCTGAGGTGTAGTGAAAGACTTGTTCTAGATAGCTAAATGGGAATGGTTGGTATCGAACAGAAAGGTAGTTTTCATCTGAAAAGATGGGTAGATCTAGTGACAAGAGTACAATTCTTGATAAGTCTTTTGATATTAAACTTGAAGTAAAGGAAGTTTTAAGGAAGGTGTTTTTGAAAGTTGTGTGATAATATTATGGCGTAAATGAAATTGGTATAAAATTGGGTAATTACAGTGATAACCAAGGCTTAAATGGACAGAGAAACTACATTGTCAGTCCTGTTTGGGTCATAATCAGCTGTCAAATTTTAAAACAAGTTTTTAATCAGTTATAAATTATATTATTTGGAAAGTTTTTGTTTATATTCAGCTTTTTCAGAAACTAGTCTGTTTTCTGATATAGGATATAATCACTGAAAGTATACATAAAGTATACTGAAAGTATACAAGTATACATAAATACCTAAAATATATACAAAAACTATGAGCAATGCCTTCTATGTCACAGGCCAGGAAAAAAAAAAAACTGAGCAAAGAGGTGGGATCAAAGACAAAGATCATGATACAGATTTTGTGACTTCTCGCACATTGTGATATTCCATGTGCATTTTAAAGTGGCATAGTTGGAAAAATGCATATTTCAGGAATTAACAAGCCATGGGGGGAATTTTAAGAATTTCATTCTTCCCCTTGTTTTTTTCAGTATGCTTGTCTTCAGAACAAATTATTTCTAGTTAAATCAGAATGAGCAAAAAATAGTGATGAAACAAAATTGGGACAAGGTGTTAGTAATTTTACTACTTTTTTGACTTCTTTGAACCTTGGCATGTGTGCTATATAATGCACCAGTTTAGATAGGTGTGTGCGAATATTTCAGCCTGGGATGCTTTGCTTTAACTATATTTCAATTTCTTAGCATGGCTTAGTGAGAGCTGCTTTTAAGAATCTCCAGGTTATAAAATAGTGAAAATTTAACACTTAGGTGGGGGGAAAACTACAGTTAATGTTAGGTTTATATTTGAATTAAGTATATTAAAATTGTTTATATTTTAGGAACTAGAATGAAAAATGAAAGGGGAGGAGGGTGAAGAGTGTGGTAAAAAAGAAAAACATTTAGAGAAATTCAGTAAACTGTCAGAAACTAGACTTTTGAACAGTTTTAAAGACTATAAAATTGTTTTTTTTAATAAACTAGTTATTTGCACTTTACCTGCTGGCTTTTCCATTTGGTAGATAACATTCTGAACTCCAGCAGAGTTTTATAATCCCCACGTGCTTAAATATACTAAATGTTCTTTTTCCATTAAGGTTAATGTTCGTGAAGAAATTGAAGAGTTTTTTCCAAGAATGTGGAAGATAAATCAAGATAAAAGAAGGCTAATGAAAAGTATTAAAGATCAGAAAATTAAAATTGAATGGGGGAAAAAATTGAACAGAAGATTGGTCAGATAGAAGCACTTGAATATTTTTTTTAAGGCTATTTTGAATTGTTTGAATTGGGGAAGAATACACGAAGTATGAAAAATGAAAAACTCAATGAAGAATGAAGAGAAGTAGAAAGCAAGAGTGAAGTAGAATTAAAAGAATCTGGAAGAATGAATGGGTCCTAGGTTAAGTAAATGTATGGTTTATGTTCCAGTGTCTGTATGATCAAGTTGTAGATGAATTTGCATGATTACTTAGTTAATAGAGAATTGGTGATCTGGTTCAAGTAGGGAATTATTGAGGACAGTTAGCAGTATTAACGATGGGTTATTAATGAGCTGAAATTTTTTCTGGAGGGTGTTGCCTAACCATTTGTTTTTCAGGAGCAATCAATATAAATAATTACGGTACTTTAAATGTTAGGTGTTAGGCATCTACGTGACCAGTGCCATTTGTAATACTGTCTTCTTTGTTAGGAGTCTCGCTCTCAGTCAAAATCTCCAACGGGAACTCCTGCTCGTGTAAAATCGGAGAGCAGGTCAGGATCTCGTAGTCCATCAAGGGTTTCCAAACACTCTGAATCTCATTCTCGATCAAGATCAAAATCCAGGTAAGTGTGTTTAAAATAATACTTGCGGTGTTCTTCTTGGATTTTTCATGACACGGGTTTTAGGCTACATTTTGAGTAGAAATTTCAGCAAAGAACCCAAATCGTGAAGTATAATTGTTTTTCTGAAGAGTTTAAAAATGAATAATAGCCTGGGTGCATAGACTCAAGCCTGTAATCCTAGCACTTTGGGAAACTGAAGTGAGGTAGAAGGATCACTTGATCCCGGCAGTTTGAGACTAATCTCGGCAACATAGCCAGACCCTGTCTCTACAAAAAATAGCTAGGCATAGTGGGGCATGCCTGTAGTCCTAGCTACTTGAGAGGCTTTGCTTGAGCCTAGATGTTCGAGGCTATAGTGAGCTATGGTGGAACCAATTTGCTCCAGCCTGGACAACAAAGCAAAACCATGTCTCAAAAAAAATAAATGATAGATAAATATATTCTAGATAAAGACTTACAATCATCTCTTGGCCCAGTTAATCTTTTGGATACTAGCTGTTAATACAAATTAAAGGGTAGGCATGGTGGCTCACTCCTGTAATACTAGCACTCTGGGGAGAGCCAAGTCAGGAGGATCACTTGAGCTCAGGAGACCAGCCAGAACACAAGAGCAAGATCCTATCTCTACAAAAAATAGAAAAATTAGCCAGGTGTGCAGATGTATGCCTATAATCTCAGCTACTCAGGAGGCTAAGGCAGGAGGATCGCTTGAGCCCAGGTATTTGAGGTTGCAGTGAGCTACAGTGATGGCCACTGTAGCACTATAGCCAGGCAACAAAATGAGACTGTCTCTAAAAAATTAAAATACAAAATAAATAAATATTCATTTAAATGTGCTTGGCATTTGTGACAGTATTTGATTTTATGCCAACAATGTTTGTACAATAAAGTCAGTTTTCTGCTTTGGAGACTTGCATGTAATTTATGCAGAGAAAGGTTTGATGTGTGTACTAGTTGGTTAACACAGTGAGAAGTGGTTTTTTTTTTTCTTTTTTTTGAGACAGAGTCTCACTCTGTTGCCGGGGCTCTAGAGTGCTATGACATCAGCCTAGCTCACAGCAACCTCAAACTCCTGGGCTCAAGCAATCCTTTTATCTCAGCCACCCAAGTAGCTGGGGACTACAAGCATGCACCACAATGCCCGGCTAAGAGAAGCATTTTTAAGATTCACATTCCAATGGCATATTTTACCTGATGATTATGACTCTTGTCTAGGTTGGAGCTCTGGTCAGATATATTGGGGGGGGGGGAGTCTCTAGATGATGCAACAACAACAAAAACTCTAGTGAACTGCTGCAGAGTTCACTGTATCTGATGTGCCAGGTATACTGGGGTGGAATAAAATTTAAAAACCTGGACAATTTTAGTTTGATACATCATTGTCATTTCTTGGATTTCTTTGGTAGAAACCTTGAATTTATATCTTTGAAAAGAGTCTGCTTGCAAAGGAGCATGACACAGAAGAATCAGTTAAAAGACTGTACTTTTCTTGATCCACAGTCATGCCATTTTCTGTTACATTCAGGATCTAACCCAGTGCTTAATTTACTAACCCATCAATTATTTAATTAAATACACATGTGCAGAATAACACAGGGTAGAATTTGTAGAAATGAGTGTATTTTTACACTCATTTGTAGAAATGAGAGTATTCTTTTCTCTCAGATAATTCTCATGTCATTTGATTGTCACCCAAGAACATAAAAGAGCACAGTTTTTATTCCCTTACACTTAATTTCTTTTTTCATAGCATTTGTCACTGTCTGATTTAAAGAAAAGGGTAGGGACTCTTGAAGAGTTTTGATGTCTTACTTTCCTTACTATTTAAAAGTAAGCATTGATATTTTATTTTTATTTATTTATTTATTGAGGCAGAGTCTCACTCTGTTGCCTGGGCTGTGGTGTCATGGCTGTCAGCCTAGCTCACAGCAACCTCAAACTCCTGGGCTCAAGCAATCCTTCTGCTTCAGCCTCCCTAGTAGCTGGGACTACAGGCATGTGCCACCATGCTCGGCTAATTTTTTTCCATATATGTTTAGTTGGCTAATTAATTTCTTTCTATTTTTAATAGAGACGGGGTCTTGCTCTTGCTCAGGCTGGTCTCTTGAACTCCTGAGCTCAAATGAACTGCCCACCTTGACCTCCCAGAGTGCTAGGATTACAGGTGTGAGCCATGGCACTTGGCCAACAGTTGATATTTTAAATGAAGAGTGTTTTTATTTTAAAAATTGGGACTGGGCATGGTGGCCCATGCCTGTAATTGTAGCACTCTGGAAGGCCAAGGAGGATTGCTTGAGTTCAGGAGTTCAAAACCAGCCTGAGCAAGAGTGAGGCCTTGTCTCTACCAAAAAATAAGAAAAAGTTAGCTGGGAGTGGTGGTTGTGTGCCTGTAGTCCCAGGCAGAGGCAGGGGGATTACTTGAGCCCAGAAGTTTCAGGGTGCAATGAGCTGCTATGATGCCACTGCACTCTAGCCTGTGTGACAGAGCGAGAATCTGTCTCCCAAAAAAATGGGGACTGTAAATTATTAGTGCTAAGGAAAATGGAGAGGATCAAGTCCCTCCTTAGTTTTATTCCCTTCCCCATATGATCTCTTTTTTAACTTTGTGGCCCTTAACATTTGTAACATTTATTGAATGCCTTGTAGAAGTTATTCTTATATGGCTGTCATCACTACTGGTCTGAGTAATTTTACATAAGGGTGGATCATATGAATGGTAAGAATGAGTTGGATTACAGGAGGTTGAGGAGTGATAACTGCTTAAGCCCAGAAGTTTGAGGTCACAGAGATCTATGATCGTCCCACTGTACTCCAGCCTAGTATCTATTGGATGAGAATGGACATTTAGGTTGTTGATGAAATAATTGAGCGGATATTACATTACAGGATAAGAAAAGATTGGAAAGGAAATGATACTTAACAGTGAAGGAAATATAGAACTATAGGGAGAAGATGCCAAGAATCAAAGGATTCTATTGTGGTTGTGGTAGTGGAAGGATGTTGCAGTAGTGATTTAAGTGAACAAGAGGAAGAATACCCTTTGCTAAGGAAGGAGGTGAGAATAGGCAGGGATAGTGCATACATCCTTGGGAGAGAGAAGGGTGTTGGTTCTAGAATTTTTTACCTAAGTTTATTTCTCTCAAAGGTCAAGGTCAAGGAGGCATTCTCATAGACGTTACACTCGATCCAGATCCCACTCTCACTCTCACAGGAGACGATCTCGAAGTAGGTCATATACACCAGAATACCGGCGACGAAGAAGCCGAAGTCATTCTCCAATGTCTAACCGGAGAAGACATACAGGCAGCAGGGTATGTGGTTTATAAAAGTTAATGAAAACCTGATTCTTCTTTCCTATATGTTAGTCATGGTGTAACATCTAGCTTTTATGAAAGCTAAGCCATTGTTTAGAATTGGTACTCCAGAAACCTCTTTAATCTGCTTTTTAGCTTTCAAAATGAAAAAAAGGAAAATCTTTTATGTCATAGACATACTAATAAAGGACATGCCACCATCTTAGTAAGCTTATGTGTATTGTGACAGATGACACAGGGAATATGTTTTCTTTGGTTGACTTTTGAATAGTTTAAAAAGATGAAATTTGGAAAGAAATACATTGCAAAAGTTAAAATGAAAAGCATAAACTGAGTTGAAAATATTGCGATACCATGTTTTACAGGGGGTGGGGGAGACTGAGGAAATACTAAAAACTCTAGTGATAATATATACTTTTAATATCTGTGCAGTGTGAGTTATGTTATGGATAAGGAGACTGAGTCTTGGGTGTATGACATGGAGGGGTTTTTGGTTTTTTGTTTGCTTTGGTTTTTGCTTATTGGCAGAGCCCAGGTAGACCCCAGCCAGTAAAGTTCCTGTGCTTAACTACTATGCTGTGCTGCGCTTCTCCCACATGATACTGACTTTTAATGTTGTTTTGAAATCTACATTTATTTCTTAAACCTGGATTGTGGAAACATCGAAAGAATATCCTTGCTAAAGAATGAAAATGGAGAAGAGGGAGTCATATTACAGATCTATTAGGGATATGAAATATTTGAATAAATTAGGAATACAGTAGTAAACTGAGGATGAATTCTTAGGATACATTCTGAAAAATTGCTGAGCTAGAGTAGAGTGTCCAAACGCTTTTATTCAGGCTATATAGCCAGGAGGTATATATATTTCAAAGAAGGCATAAGTGTACTGTGAACTGTAAAATGTGGTTTGTCTGCTTTAGTTCTCTTAAAATCTTATTTCCAAATGACTAGAAATAATATATTCTTTGTGTATTGGATAAGGTGTTCTAAATAATTTGTTTTTTAATTTTGATTTTAATTTGGAGTTTTAATTAAATTTAAATAACATGTTTATTCAATAGGCAAATCCAGATCCCAACACTTGTCTTGGAGTATTTGGCCTCAGTTTGTATACAACAGAGAGAGATCTTCGTGAAGTATTTTCTCGATATGGACCATTGAGTGGTGTCAATGTGGTTTATGATCAGCGAACTGGAAGATCTCGAGGATTTGCTTTTGTGTATTTTGAGAGAATAGATGATTCAAAGGAGGTAAATTTGTTTTAATAATTTTCATTTAAAAATTTTTTTGTATGTATGATTATAGTATTGGGATACTATTAAAAGTTGACTAAAAGACTCCCAATTCTATAAACTTTATGTCCTCTCTAACTCTGACCTGAGTCAAATTCTACCTCTCTGTTATAATTGGAGTGGCCATAGTTTCACTTGATTTAGCTTATGCTTTGTTTGTTTGTTTGTTTGTTTTGAGACAGAGTCTCCCTTTGTTGCCCAGGCTAGAGTGAGTGCCGTGGCATCCGCCTAGCTCACAGAACCTCAATCCTGGGCTCAAGCAATCCTACTGCCTCCAGCTCCCGAGTACTTGGACTACAGGCATGTCCGCCATGCCCGCTAATTTTTTCTATATTATATTAGTTGGCCAATTAATTTCTTTCTGTTTTATAGTAGAGACGGGTCTCGCTCTTGCTCCCGCTGGTTTCGAACTCCGACCTTGAGCCGATCCACCCGCCTCGGCCTCCCAGAGTGCTAGGATGAGCCACCGCACCCGGCCTAGCTTATGCTTTCTGATTTAGCTATGTCTTGAGTGAAATCTGGCCTTGTAGAGTGAGCTATATGTGTTTGAGTTCATGGAAAAAGTAAAGTATTTAAATGTTCTCTTTTTTTTTTGAGACAGAGTCTCACTCTGTTGCCCAGGCTAGAGTGCCGTGGCATCCAGCCTAGTCTCACAGCAACCCCAACTCCTCTGGGCTCAAGCAGTCCTTCCTGCCTCAGTCTCCTGAGTAGCTGGGACTACAGGATGGCCACCATACCCGGCTAGTTTTTTCTATGTATTTTTAGTTGTCTGGCTAATTTCTTTCTGTTTTTTTTAGTAGGAAGGGGTGTCTCGATCTTGCTCGGGCTGGTCTTGAACTCCTGACCTTGAGCGATCCTCCCACTTCAGTCTCCCAGAGTGTTAGGATTATGGGAGTGAGCCATCATGCCCGGCTGAAACTTGGTCTTATCCTTTGGTTTTCCCCATGACTTATCACTTGGTGGTGTTCTGGATAAAATAAAAATGGCAGGTTTACTTAGATTCCAAAGAACTTCTTGCAAATATTTGCATTTACTGAAGTAGTTAAATTATTATTGCATTTATTGTTATTGGTGGCTAAGGGCAAAGTGATTGACAATGTGAGTTCAGGTATAAAGACATAGGACTTGTTGCTGTATTTACAAGTTCTTTATATTTGGAGTTCACTAGGTGGCAGTGTGTTACCTAAGGCTGCCGTCCCCAACCCCCAGGCCTCTGACCAATGCCAAACTTGGGCCACAAGCCTGAAAGCTTCATCTATATTTACAGCCACTCTCCATCCCTCTCATCACTGTATAAAAACTGCCTCCTGTCAAATAAGCGGCAGCATTAGATTCTCATGTGAGTGTAAACCTGACAAACTGTGCATGTGAGTGTTCTAGGTTGCCCCCTCCTTATGGGAATCTGATGCCTGATGATCTGAGTAGAACTGATGTGGTGATAGTAGTGGACTGTCAGAATTTATTAACATTAGTGCCACTAAAGTTGGTGTAAAACCCCCCACTGCTAAATTTGACTGGCTTTAAAAAAAAAATTTGAGGGACTCTTAAGGTGAAACATTTGTGAATTACATTAAAATTATGTCCTTATTGGTTCCCTCTCAGAGGCTGAAAGGCATTACTGTAATTACGTGTTTGTATCTGTTTATATATCTTTTTTTTTTTTCTGGGCTGCTCACTGAGTTGCGTCAGTATACTGGACCATAAACTAAAGAACAAGAATGTAGGCAGGTTATAGATAGAACCTATATAAAGCTTAACTCACCCTTTTAAATGTTTTGAAGTCAGTCTTTGTAAGTGAAATGGCAGCCTACCTGGGCAGCCTACAAAAAGTTTAGCTTAAAAAGACTTCTTGGGCGGCGCGGTGGCTCCGCTCTGTAATCCTAGCCTCTGGGAGCCGAGGCCGGGCGGATTTTGCTCAGGTCAGGAGTTCAAACCAGCCTGAGCGAGACCCGTCTCTACTATAAAAAAATGGAAAAAATTAATTGGCATCTAATATATATATACTATATACAAAATTAGCCGGCCATGGGTGGCTCGTGTCCTATAGCCCAGCAACTCGGAGGCTGAAGGCAGTAGGATGGCTTAAAGCCCAGGAGTTTGAGGTTGCTGTGAGCTAGGCTGACGCCACGGCCTCACTCTAGCCTAGGCAAGAAGCGAGACTCTGTCTCAAAAAAAAAAAAAAAAAAAAAAAAAAGACTTCTGGCCGACGCGCGTGGCTTCACGCCTGTATCCTAGCTCTTGGGAGGCGAGGCGGGCGGATTGCTCAAGTCAGGAGTTCAAAACCAGCCTGAGCAAGAGCGAGACCCCGTCTCTACTATAAATAGAAAGAAATTAATTGGCCAACTGATATATATATATAAAAAATTAGCCGATTTTCTCCAGCGTATGTTAAATTAAAAAAAAAAAAATTAGCCGGGCATGGTGGCGCATGCCTGTAGTCCCAGCTATTCGGGAGGCTGAGGCAGAAGGATCGCTCGAGCCCAGGAGTTTGAGGTTGCTGTGAGCTAGGCTGCCGCCACGGCACTCACTCTAGCCTGGACAACAAAGCAAGACTCTGTCTCAAAAAAAAAAAAAAAAAAAAGACTTCTTGTCAGGCGTGGTGGTTCACGCCTGTAATCCTAGCACTCTGGGAGGCTGAGGTGGGCGGATTACTCAAGGTCAGGTGTTTGAGACCAGCCTGAGCAAGAGCCCATCTCTACTATAAATAGAAAGAAATTAATTGGCTAATTAATATATATAGAAAAAATTAGCAGGGCATGGTGGCTCATGCCTGTAATCCCAGCTACTCGGGAGGCTGAGGCAGAAGGATTGCTCAAGCCCAGGAGTTTGAGGTTGCTGTGAGCTAGCCTGATGCCACGAAAAGACTTCTTATCCCCATTCTCCTTCTTGTTCTTGTTGGTAGTGGGAACTGAGCCAGAGCTGGAAAATTACTTGGAGAAAAGTTTATTAACTACACTTTGGGTTTAGTAAATTAAAATGCGTTCCGTACAATGTTGAAGTCTAGAAATAAATGTATCTTCAGTCCCTTATCCAAGTTTATATTGCTGTTATTTTCAAAATTGGGAGTTTAAATATTCTACTTAATTTTAGGTAATGATTATTTCGTGGGCTAGTGAATTATGCATGACTTTCTATGCCTGTTCTTCTTTATAGGCTATGGAAAGGGCAAATGGAATGGAGCTGGATGGTAGAAGAATTCGTGTGGATTATTCTATCACCAAGAGAGCACACACACCTACACCAGGCATCTACATGGGCAGACCAACTCAGTAAGATTTTTTTTTTTAAGTTTTATAAGTTAAAGTATGAAATCCGCCAGAAATGTAATGCAAATTTTGATTAATTAGAAAATAAGATTTTTGTCCTAATAATTACAGTTGAAAGGTATACATTCCTCGAGACTTTATTTTTACATATATATATATATATGTATGTATGTATGTATATATATAATATATATATATATATGAGCAGGAGAACTCTTTAAAACTATCAAAGCATGTTCCTATCTCTTCTGATACTGAACAAATAGAAAAATTATTGAATACTAGAAAAATATCATGTGCTATTTATATATTTATTCTCTTTCTGTTCTTATGTAACCTGGGAAGCCTCTGTGTATAGGCAGGTTTTATTGATACTAGCGTTTGTTTTTTTTAAAAAGCCGTAGCTTTTTAAATGAGCAAAACATTAATAAAGGGCTTTCTTATAATATATACAACCAACGGCAGTATTCGCAGAGGTATTTCTTGGGAGTGAAAAAAGGAATATAGTTGTCCTTCAGTGTAAGAGGGGTGTGGTTCCAGGTCCTTCAGGAGACCCAAATCCAAGAGTGCTCAAGTTCTTGATATAAAATGGTATAGTTTTGCATATGACCTATGCACATTCTCCTATATACTTTAAATCATCTCTATATTATACCTAATACCATGTAAGTGGGGTTTTTTGCAGGTTTTTGTTTGTTGGGGGTTTGTTTGTTTTTTGTTTGTTTTTGTTTTGTTTTGAGACAAAGTCTCTGTTGCACTGGGCAGAGTGCAGTGTTGTCATCATAGCTCACTAGCTCACTGTAACCTCAAACTCCTGGGCTTAAGCGGTCTTCTTGCCTCAGCCTCCCAAGTAGCTGGGACTATAAGAGTGTACCACAATGGCTGGCTAATTTTTCTATTTTTAGTAGAGACAGGGTCTTGCTCTTGCTCAGGCTGGTCACTTCTGAGGGCAAGTGATTCTCCCATCTCTAACTCCAGAGTGCCAGGATTGCAGGCATGAGCCACTGTGCCCTGCCATGTAAGTGCTATTTAATAGTTGTCATGCTGTATTGTTTAGGGAACAAAGACAAGGAAAAGTCTGTACACGTTCGGTACAGTTTTTCCCCCAGAAATCTATCCTTGAGTTGGTTGAATTCATGGATGTGGAAGCCCATGGATATGGAGAGCTGACTATGTAGGCATTCTTTGTATTTTCTTTTAAGACAGGCTCTCACTCTGTCACCTAGGCTAGTGTGCAGTGGTGTGATCATAACTCAATGTAACCTTGAACTTCTGGGCTCAGGTGATCCTCCTGCCTCAGCTTCCCAAGTAAGCTTCAACTACAGGCGCAGGCTACCACATCTGGCTCTCTTGTTTTGTTTTGTTTTGTAGGAGTGAAGTATTTTACTGTGTTGCCCAGGCTGGTCTTAAAACTCCTGAGCTCAAGCAATTGATCCACTTTGGCATCCCAAAGTGCTGGAATTAGATACATGAGCCACTGCACCCAGCCTAGACTTTGATTTAATTTTTAAGGTTTTGTTGGGTGAAGTGTGTGTTTTCGCAAGGAGAGCCTACAGAAAACTCTAGTGAAATTAGTGCTACTATGTTTAGGAATTTGGAAAATACCAAGAGAAAGATGTTAGAGTTTGAAAACTTGAAATTTTTAAAATTTTTTTCTTTCCTTTTTCCTATGATTGAGCATTTGTATGTGTGGACAATGCTTTTTAATAGAATAACAGTTTATAGCTTTGTGAAAGCATTCTTGGTTGTGTATATCCTGAATAAGAAGTCAAAGCAAAATACCATCTCAATAAAGAGATATAGAGGCAATTGGCGTGAAAGAGTTCTTTCTCCCTTTTCTCTCCTCCTTCCATTTTTATTAAGGTATCAATTTATAGTAAATTATTCTGGAAAACACCATTCACACTGTAAAATTTTTACATTTTTCTATAGTAGTGGTGGCGGTGGTGGAGGTGGAGGTGGCGGCGGAGGTGGAGGTGGTGGCAGACGTCGAGATTCTTACTATGATAGAGGATATGATCGTGGGTATGACAGATATGAAGACTATGATTACCGGTACAGGTAATGTTTTAACTTGAATTTTCTGTTCTAAGTTAGATGATAGTGTTATTTGACACTTTTGTGTGATATGTATGAATAAAAACTTGATGGTTAAAATAGATTATATATGATGCTTTGATAACAGGAGGTTAACTATCTGTTTTTTTTGCCAATGTTTTGTTGTGCCATGTGCTTACTGTCCTAGTCTCTTTGGCACACAGAGAACTTAATAGTTTTCATATTGGGTACATTATTTTCAGTGATGAGGAATTCTTATTTTCATCTGGCTCAGTGAAGTGATTGTGTAGTGTGCTAAGTAATCTTTTGTTTCTTTTTTTTTTTCAAAAGCTGCTTCAGTCTATAATCTTTTGTTTCTTACAGAAGAAGATCACCTTCTCCTTATTATAGTCGTTACAGATCACGATCAAGATCTCGTTCCTACAGTCCAAGTATGTGAACTTTGCATTTGTAGTATTAAAAACCTCATTTCTAATTAATGGCTGATTTTAGAGTATTAGTGTGTATGGTGGCAGTTAGTAGATAGAAAAATATTAGGCAAATCAAACTGTAATTGTCATCTTATAACTTTTTTTTTGCCCTTTCTCTTTCAGGACGCTATTGATAATGGAATGGTTGCAGCTGAGAACATTTTTTCTCTTTATTTTCTTTTTTCTCTCTTTCTTTTTTTTTTTTTCTATAATTCTGGATTTCCCCACACTTCTGATCCTTCCTACTCCTTAAAAAAAAAAAACTTTTAAAAAAACTCTGATTTATTCAGCATCTACACTTTTGTCAATTGTGTTGCTGTTTTCCATCCCTTTTATTGTACTCTCAACGATGTAATTGTTGTCATTTGAGTAGTTAAACTATCTTGAGTAAAAAAAGGAAACCCCAGTGTTATGCTTTGTAAATGATTTCTTTGCTTTCATAGAAGATAAACTCCTAGCTAATCACATGAGGAAAGAAATGATCTTTTAAAAGCTTCTTTTGTGTTAGATACTGTATTAGAGATCTGCATTCATGATGAGCTCCCCCTCCCCCTTTTTTTTATTTTCTTTTGGGGAAAATATTAATAGTAACACTTGAAGTAGTTCAGTCATGTCAGGTTTGTCTGGGGTGGCATGGAGCAGTCAAATAGTTGAGTTTAGAAAGTTTGAAGCTATAGAAAACACTTGCCCATTTCTTTGAAAGTACAGAATTTTTGAACTTTAAAAATTAAGTCATTTTTAGATATGACAAGCTTGTGGACTCCTACAAAACATGTATTTGAAATACATCTGTTGAATCTTAAAAACGTAAAGTGTGATTTTTGTGTTAAACTTATTCAAGTATTCCCTTAATCAGTGAAGGACAACCCTTATTTATTACCTAGAGCAATTGTATAATTTGCTGTTAGAAATTTTGGTATTGGGACAATGATTAAGCAGGTTATTGTATAGTGTAGAGTCCTTAGAAGATACATGTGGGGAAATGTAGTCATCTTTCAAATAAAAGTTAATTTCTTTGAAAATGGGCTTGTCTCATTATTGTAGAACAGTGGAGAAATATAACTGGATTGGCTTACGAACCCTTACATTTTTCTTCTTCCCTATATTTCTCCAATACATAGTTATACAAAAGTTTGCACATCCTGAGTTTTTATTTCCTAATATTTATCTTTTTTTCAAATATTTTTTTTTGTCTACCTGAATGCTTAATCTTTGTCTTCTCTTTGGTCTTTTTGTTTTTCCTCTTTTTTTTTTTTGTTTTGTTTTGTTTTGTTTTATTGGTGAACCAAATTGTAACTGAGAATATTCATTACCAGCACCATGCTGAAGGAAAGATAAGTAGGTTGTTCACAACTTCAAGAAGTCCATATTCTGGTAGGAAACATCACTTAATTTGACTACAGTATAACATAGGGGGAGGATATTTAGGGTATGACCTTTAAAAGGTATTAGGAGCAGTAGGAATAAAATTAGATTGTTATGACATTAATATCCTATCATTTGGATCAGAGAATTTTGTTTAACTTTGGAATTGAAGTGTCTCAGGTTATTGTTACTAAAAACTAACTTTTCAAAAAGCCTGTCCTTAAAATATTTTTTTTTCAATAAAGGATATCCAAAGAATAAAGTTGGCAATCTTTTGTTGGCCCCTGGAGGTGTTTGTTGTTAAACCATGTTAAAGGCTGGGAAGCTGGATAAAGTGGCATGTACCTGTAGTTAAAACCACTTGGAAAGCTGAGACTGGAAGATGATTTGAAGCCAAGAATTTGAGGCTGAGTGAGTGTGCTATGATCATGCCTATATGAATAGCCACTGCACCAAAGCTATGGGTAACATAGGGAGACCCTCTGTCTCTTAAAACAATAATAATGATAAAATATAATAGCAACAAATAAAATGACTAGGAACCGTAACCCTAACAATCTGTTAATTATAGGAGTACTTTAAAAACTTAAGCAATATATCAACAACAAAGTGAAAACAGCCACAATCAAGACATTTAGATGTTACATATGTAGTATGGATAAAAAGCAGGGAAGGAGAATAAAGGAGTAAGAGGGAGGACACAAGTTTAAAGAGGGTAGTCTTTGAAGCCCTTCCCAAGAATGTGAAATTTGAGTAAAGATGTGAAGGTGAGGAATATCTATAGAATATGGGTCCCTGGGGGAAGAAAATGTTACATATAGGGAACAGCAAGTAAGTAGTATAATGACCTTAAGCTAGTAGCATACCTGGAATGTTGGATAAGAAGAAAAGAGGCAAGAAAGGACAAAGGTAATAACCACAGGGTTGGGTGCTGCTAGGGAGAGGAAGGGGAATGGGATGAGGTGTGATTCAAGAATCAAGAGGTAAGTTCTTCCATAAAAATGAGAATTGCAGTACCCTGTGAACATGGCACTGCCACTGCGCGTAGCATGGGGGCTGTGGCCTGCAGCCTGCGCTTGGCCTCAGTGACTGCCACGCCCTACCACTACAGCCTTGGGCGCTGTTCGTACGCTGCTCTACTCTAAGTGCATAAATTTACAAAAAAAATATGAATGGGTAACAACAGAAAATGGTGTTGGAAGAGTGGGAATCAGCAATTTTGCACAGGAAGCTTTGGTAGATGTTTACTGGAGTCTGCCTGAAGTTGGGACAAAATTAAATGAGTGAGGGGAGAGGAGAAAAGGGGGAGGGGAAAAAAAAAAAAACAAAATTAAATGAGTTTGTGCTTTGGAAAGTATGAAAGCTGCTAGTGAACTCTATTCTTTATCAGGAGAAGTAACAAATTAATGGAGCTCTGGCAGAAAACCCTGGACTTGTTAACAAATCTTGTTACAAAGATGGTTGGCTGATCAAGATGACACTGAGTAATTCAGAACTAGATGAACTAATGAGTGAAGAAGCATATGAGAAATACATAAAATCTATTGAGTGAAAATGGAACCTCTGAATAAACTAGTATGAAATAACCCAGCATAGTTGTCTTAAATTAGTGGCAAACAGACGACTACTCTCAATACTGCTAATGAAAGAAAATACTCCTTAACTTTCTAATGATTATAGGTAAACAAAATATGCATCTTTTTCACAATAGTCTGATTTTTAGACTAGTATTCAGAATTCATCAAATTATCCATGGTAGAAAACTAGTTATAAAAATTATGTAATCAGGGCCGGGCGCTGTGGCTCACGCCTGTAATCCTGCTCTTGGGAAGCCGAGGCGCGGATTGCTCGAGGTCAGGAGTTCAAAACAGCCTGAGCAAGAGCGAGACCCGTTCTCCTATAAATAGAAAGAAATTAATTGCAACTGATTAATATATATTAATTAGCCGGGCATGGGGCGCATGCTGTAGTCCCAGCTACCCGGGAGGCTGAGGCAGCGGATCACTCGAGCCCAGGATTTGAGGTTGCTGTGAGCTATGGCTGACGCCAGGCACTCACTCTAGCCTGGGGCAACAAGCGAGACTCTGTCTCCAAAAAAAAAATATTGTACTCAAAGGTGATCATTGTTATTTTAAGCCTTCATATAATACTGTAACTTGTTACAACTCCTACCAGATTTGGGCTGACATACTTATGGTCCTTTCATTGGAAAGTAACCAGAAGTATTGAAGTTTTCTTGGTTGTACAGTATCAGATGAAACAATATTATTTATTTGCATATACTGCATTTGCTGGTGCTTTTTATACAGTGAGTAACAGCTTTGCGCAAATCATAAATATTCAACTTTTTTTTTTTTACACAGAGTCTCATTCTGTTGTCCTGGCCAGAGTGCGTGGCGTCACCCTAGCTCACAGCAACCTCAAACTCCTGGGCTCAAGCAATCCTGCCTCAGCCTCCTGAGTGGCTGGGACTACAGGCATGTACCACCATGCCCGGCTAATTTTTTCTATATATTTTTAGTTGGCCAGTTATTTTCTTTGTTTTTATTAGAGACAGGGGTCTCTTGCTGAGGCTGGTTTCGAACTCCTGACCTTGACGATCCACCCACCTCGCCTCTCAGAGTGCTAGGATTACAAGCGTGCGCCACCCTGCCTGGCCGGTTTAGGTTAATTTTGAATGTGAATTTTCTTCTTCCTTCCAAAGTAATTTGAAATTAAATGAATTAATGGTAAAAATAAGTGCAGTTTTGTATTCTACAAAGCAATTCAGATATTGATGTTAAAAGGCTAGGTGAAAAATATACCATCAATGAGTAATGAATATACAAAACAAAGGTAGCTGGGTGCTGTGGTGTTTTTTTCTTTTTTGTAGTGGGATGATACGTTTATTTCCACTACCTGCAGTGAGCTATGATGATGCCATTGCACTCTAGCCTAGGCAGCAGAGCAAGACCTTGTCTCAGAAAAAAAGGAAAGAAAGAAGAAAGGTGTAAGTAATTTTTAGAAATCCCACACACAAATGAAATAAAAGACTTTGCCAATTTATATTCCCACCAGCAATATATGAGAGAGGGAGGTCTCTTTCCTAGACAAAAGATGTTGAAATTTTACTAAAGGAAAACAAGTTCACGTGCTCTGAATTGTTTACAACACAAAGTTATTTCAAAATGACTGTCCTAACTCTCCCCTAATGTGTGAGAACATGGACACGTGTAATTGAAGCACCAGTTTTAGAATATAGAGGATGGCTCCAATCACTAATTAGGGAAAATTAAAAGTACATATAGAGGTAGAAAAGAGGAGTTGCTAATTGGGTATAGTCAATGAAAAAGCTCTGGAGATGGATTGGTGGTAACCATCACAACAATGTAAATGTACTTAATACCACATAACCACTTAAAAGTGGTTAAAATGGTAGATTATATGTATATTTGCTACTACAATTTTAGTAAAAGTATGTATAGCAAAAAACCTAAAGTAGAGATCCCCATTTATCTAGGTGCTTTGTAACTGTTTCTCTCTGGTGTACTCTGTAATTCAAAAGTTGCAAAATGGTTAGGTAACCAGTGAGGTAACTTGCTTGCCTTGTGACTGCTATATCCTTAGTGCCTAAAACAGTGCCTGGCATGGAGTAAGTGTCCAATGAATATTTGTATAAATGAGTGAGTGAATGAATGAGGATAGTGTCATGGGGGAAATAATTGGTAGGGCCCATTAACTAAATTCCCAATCAATCTCATCAAATTAATTACTATAGTAATTTAAAAGCCAAAGTATAAAGAGTGGGTGTATAAGGGGTCTAGGCTGAAATTACATTCAATCACAATGACCCTTAAAAGGGTTAAAAAGCATTTTAAATAATTGTTTAATGGGAAATGGCAATATAATTATCATAAAAGTGTTGGTGCTTGAGTCACCTTGAAAATTCATTTATATGGAACACTGGGATCACTGATAATGTCAGATAAGTAAAGCATTCTATTTGATATTCACAAGAAGATCAAGTGCAGAGAGGTCACGATGGAAAATGTTCTTTTTTTGAAACTTAAAAAGGGACACGAGTTTATTTTCGAGTACTGTATAACTTCAAAGTTAATTAATAGTACATTAGTATTCACTATTTTCACTAACTTCCGACTGAAATTTAGTGTTCTTTTTTTGTTGTTTTTTGGTTTTGAGACTCTTGCTTTGTTTCCCAGGCTAGAGTGAGTGCCATGACATCAGCCTAGCTCACAGCAACCTCAAACTCCTGGGCTCAAGCAATCCTGCTGCCTCAGCCTCCCCAGTAGCTGGGACTACAGCCATGTGCCACCATGCCCGGCTAATTTTTTTCTATATATATTAGTTGGCCAATTAGTTTCTATTTCTAGTAGAGATGGGGTCTTGCTCTTGCTCAGGCTGGTATCGAACTCCTGACCTCGAGCAATCCACCCGCCTCGGCCTCCCAGAGTGCTAGGATTACAGGCGTGAGCCACCGCGCCTGGCCAGCATTTTTTTTTTTTTAATGTAAGCTAAGATTTAAGATTTAAACCTGTCTTTGTAAAGGTATACACATACATATATTCATAATTAAACTCTTAATGAACTTTTAAACTATTTGTATGCCCTGGTATCTTATAAGATTAAATAGAGTTTAAACAATTTTTAATACCATAAATTTAATAAGGGCAAGATTCAAGTGAAGAAAACTAAAACCATTTGTTGTGTGCATGGGTCTTGAATTTATATTACTGAATGGGTAAACCTAGTACTGTAGTTTAAACTTTACCCCAAATTTATATATATTGTACATATGTAATGGAGTTCCAGTGAGAGTGCTATGCCCATCAGAGTGTAGATTAAATTCAAGTAAACGAACTTAGAAAACTATGTTAGGGTCAGCCCCAGGGGCTCAAGTCTGTAATTCCAGCACCTTGGAAGGCTGAGGCGGAAGGATTGCTTAAGACCAGGAGTTGGAGACCCTGTCTCTATACTAAAAAATTAGCCAGGCTTGGTGGTGCATGCCTGTCCTCCTAGCAGGAGGATCACTTGAGCCTAGGAGTTTGAGGTTACAGTTAGCTGTGATGACCCCACTGCACTCTAAGCCCCAGCAACAGAATGAGAGCCTGTCTCAAAAAAAGAAAAAAATCACATTTGGCATATTAGGAAAAAAAGATACAGGACAGCCGGGCACAGTGGCTCACGCCTGTAATCCTAGCAGTCTGGGAGGCCAAGGCGAGAGGATTGCTTGAACTCAGGAGTTCGAGACCAGCCTGAGCAAGA